CCCACACTCGGAGAGGAGGCGGCGGCGATCTCAGAGCATCTCCAGTTTCCAGCAGATCTCCTTTGCCCGAAAAAAAACAGTACTCTCTTCGTCCCAAAATAAGTGCCGGACAGACTTGTTCGCATCAACTCCTCCGGATCCTTTATTATATTTTTTTTCTCTCCACGCCCTCTATTCTTTTATTATTATTTTCTATACTCTTAACCTAAGCAAAAAGAATATGAGTTACTTAAAATATTTTAAATCAAATTGGTACTTTCATTTTCTTGTTCTACTCATTCGCTCAAAACAGAAAACAACATTGTCGACGTAATGGGAAAAGGGATTCCGGGGATTCTCAAAGCACGGTGGAGTGGGCCTCCCAAAGATCTATCTGCATAAAAAAGATTAAGTCATCGGGAAGACACAAAGGGCTTGGAGGTTTGGTTGCCCCGAGCACCAAAGAAGTAGGTGTCGCAAGCATCAAGGGAATGTGTGCCCCGAGCATTGTATGTGTGACAGGAACAACCAGAAAATGAATGGTGCCTCAAGCACGACATCTTGACAGAGTTACGAAGAAGCAGAAGCACCTTGATGCATTCCCGAGCACTAATAGGACCCTGAGCACGACCAAAGCCTCTGGGCATGGCTACCTCGGGCGCAAGCAACCTTGTGAGGCAAAACAAACCTTCTCACGTCACATTTTATGCAATATCAGGGCATGGTCGACCGGCGCGTTAAATGCCAAACATGCTATCTACGGTAACCCATCACAGATTGCATATTAATAGTGTTTTTAAGAGTTTATCACCTATCACACTGACAAGACTACACATAATCATTTTTTTTTACTAAATAGCGCATGCAGTATTGTGATTCTGTCAGTCAAGATGATGACACATGGGCCCTAGAAGGACGTCGGCGACTAGGAGCATCCCTCGCCTGATGACGTGCAGGTTCTAGGCTATCATTGGCCTCCCTTCCTTGGTGAGTACCGAGGCAGACGCAAGGGAACTACGACTAAATCGTTTTGTATCTTGTGTGTGGGAGGCCATTGGGATCTCCCCAACACTATATAAGGAGAGGGGCATGGCCATTAGAGGGGGATCGAACTCTTTGATAGCCACTACTAGTGAAGAAGTAAGAGAATGAAGGAAGAAGGAGAAGGGTGCTTGGGGTAGCTAAAACATTCCCGAGCACCATCTGTATCAACCATGAGCACTCATCTCGAGCTTTTAATCTGCTATACCATAATCCATCGAACATTCATTAAGCAGGAATAGGGATTACACCTTTGGGTGGCCTGAACCTAGGTAATTGCTTGTGTCACTACTTATTTAGTTCATGGAATTCTTAGCCCATGGCTGAATCATAAAAGGGGTTCTCCTGAACCTTAGATGGCGAGGGTTTCACCATCGACAAACATACATAGAGTAACTTGTAATAATACAAACTAAATCGGTATTTTTCCTTTCTTTATCCTATGCATTCCCTCACTCAACTTGCTTCTTGTTTTTTTCACCCATATATATTCCAAATTTGTAGCATCTTGCAGTGATATGGAAATGGATCATTTTTTGTTTGGCATATTAAAGTGTACACTCTTGGATTTAGGTTCCCCAAATTACAAGGAAATAAAATATCCAACCGAGATCTTGGATAATCCATTAGGGTATAACATTTGATAATACTAAATCTTCCTATGAATGTTGTCAAGGATGGACGAACGCAGAGTAACTGGTCTCGAGCTCATATGCTCTTGATATCCTGGGCGTTAGCTAATGCATAGGGATATGGGCCAATTCTTTATACAGTTCGTTTTGAAGTGCTGGTAATTGCGCACTGTGCGGGAATACGTATGTGTGTCAGGGCGAGAGGTGGGCCAGCTGCTTGGCGGCCGTCACCGGATGACGGGCTGAGCCGTGGCCCAGAATCGTATTTGTCTGTCTGATTCATGGCTCAGATATCGCTTTCCGTCAAGGGCGGCAGCCTCGAAACGAATGCAGACCCACGCTATTCTTCCCCAACGTGGCCGCCATTTTCGTTATCTGATGAGGGAGAGAGGGAGGAAGTTGGAGAACAGGCGACCAACGCTAATGGAGTTCCCTATGCAGCCAATCAGAAGGTATGAGTGCATTTTTTTTGCAAACTTTGCGTGCGATTTGAAGGGCGGAGCTCAGAGGGTTGGGGGTTATTTGCTTTCTGTGCCACAAATCCACGCTGATTGAGGAGGTAGGAGAGAGTCTACTGCCGGAAGGTTCGCCGGCGGACGGTGGTGGAGGTGTTGTTTCTGGTCCACACGAGTGTAAGCGGCAATGGGCGGATATGCGTGGCATCTCTGCACCGGCGGCCATGAGCGAAGATGGGCGAATCTGCAGTATGGCAGCAGTGTGAAGGGACAACTCGCTTCCATATTCTGAGCTCTCTACGGGGAAGATGAATCCTCAGACTCCGTGTTGGAGTAATAGGTTAGGGGAACTAAATTTAAAATTTGATCTGTGCTATGAAGAATTTCAGTAAACATATTTTCAGTCTGTTTGTGGCCGTGCAGTGTTTGCTAAATTTTTGGTATGGCAGTAATCCATAGTATGATATGCATTAGTGTGAGGACTTATGTTTAAAGCGGTTAATCTAATCTAATTAGGCTTTATGTGAGTTAGTAGTTTGAACTGCAACTAGATGGTAGTTTATCAATTTGGTTGATACAAATCATATATAATCCCTTTCAGGTTGAGAATTGGTGCAGCTGCTCCTAGCAGGACACCCCAAACCGCATTGTTTGTGTAAAACCCAGCTGAAAATGTTACTCTGGTGCTGGGTACTACTTTAACTTGCTGGGTGAAGCATATGAGGTGAGCCTTGATCAAGTTCCTTGATTTCTGTCTGATCTGTGGCTTGGAAAGGTCGCTTTCCGTCAAAGGGCGGTAGGCGTGAATTGAATACAGGGCGAGTTCTTCCCTGACGCAGACATCATTTTGGAAGTTCAGAAGCATGGGAGGGAGGGAGTGGAAGAACAGGCGACCAACGGCGATGGCTTTCCTGATGTTCCGGTGGTTAAGCTTTTGTGATTTGTCTCTCCTAGATCCACTCTGATTGAGGAGGTAAGCAACTGCACCAACCAGATCACCGAGATCAGATATGATAAGATGAGATGTACATGCACTGGGGTTAGATGTAGATAGATCATAGATCCATGGTCCTGTCAGCTCTTCACCAAATGCATGCACTGCTGTAGCAGTAGTATTTGGTGGAATTCATGTGCACTGTTACTTGTTTTCTGGGAAAAGAAGAATGAGAAATAGTGCATACCTGTTGTATCCCCTTTTTGTGTGTATAAATGTTGTCCAATTTTCAGAGGATATCTGCAGTTTGGTGCCAGTTAGCTAGCTTTGTTCATAGGCTTTTATTTGTTCAGTACAGGAATGGTAGTTACTTCCGCTAGCTGTTTGGTTTCAGTTTAGTTTGCACCGCCAGATGAATCTACTAATTGGTGAGTAAAAACAAATAAGAAAAACATGGGACTCATCTTAATTAGGAGACACATATCATCTAGAGATGTCCTACCAGCTCCAAGTGTGTTGCGCTCTAATTGCATGGTTAGGTATTGCTAACTGACCATCGAGTCCTTCTTTGTTTGTCACTGCAGATTCCAAAACTGTGAAATAGGAAGATAGATTTCTCCAGTGCTCTCTAACTTTAGCAAATTTACTATAGGCGCACATATTGTACTGTTTCACAAATATGCCATGCCATGCTACAGTGTTTTATGATCTCTATCATTCACATGGAAATCTGTTTACTGTGCATTCACACCATATATAAGTACAAATCATGTTGCATTGGCTGGTTAACCCCTCGATCTGTTTGTCCCTGCCTGCATTTTCTCACATTGTTCGTGTATGATGAAGGCACCAAATAAGATACTTGCAATAGTTTGTCAAAATACAGCTCTGTATAGTAGAGATAGCACCACCAGCTAAACCCCTTCTTCATAGGGAGCTCTCATCTGAATCTTTTCATTTTATTTGATGCATTCTGGACCCTATAGTGGAATGAGGCTAGAGGTGACATGTCATTTTAGAATAAATCAATTTTGATCGATAGTTGACACTGTAGTTTATGTTCTATTTGCAGTGGATTTCGAGATACGAGCCAT